GAAGCAGACAAAGTTGCAAAAAATATCTGACAACTGGAAAAAAATTTAAAAAAACAAGATCAGTGTATTTCGAGACAATAAGACATACCTTTAGGAAATTTAACAATCAGCACTTAACATTCGGGAAAATTAAAATTAAAAAAATTTATACAAGGAAAGGTTAGAAGATGATTAAAACAAATTCGTAGAAAAAATTGTTGGTAAAAAATCTAAAAATATATCAATTGGGAGAATTAAAAACAATCAGAAAAAATTCAGCAAGAAATTAACGAAATTCGAAGAATTAGACAAATCCGCAAATTTGAGAATTTAGGTAATTAAAAAAATTCATAAAATAATAAGTAATTCTAGATTCTAAAAAATAATAATAATAAAAATTGTAAAACTGAGTTGAAAGCCTGGAAAGTGTGCTGTTTGATGCATATGCCTATAATTAAAAAATAAAATTAAATATTTGAAAAAGTTGAAGTTTACAATTTCAACGAAATTCAAGAAGCGCTTGCAAAAATTCGAAGACGAAAAATGAACGTTTATAATATTTTGATTTAGAAAAATAAAAATCTGACGCACATACTAATTTCAAAATAAATAAACATACATTGAAAATCAGAAAAGCCAGAGTCCCAAAAATTACAAAATATAAAAACGGGATTAAGTTCTAAAAATTAGGAAATATTTCAAAAATTGAAAACTCGGAAGTCTAGAAAATTCGGACAAAATTAAAGTCAAAAATTCAAACAAATCTAAAAATGTATAATTGATTAATTCAGGAAAGTTGGAAAAAAAAACTAAAAAAATTAAAAATTCAACAAAATTGTATGATTTTAAAATGTTACGGGATATTTTGAAAAAATTGAACATCTAAGGTACACAAATATGAAAAGATTAAAAATGAAGAGAATTCCATGGACTTTCTTACTGAAAGATTCTCTGATTTAGACTAACATTGTGCGCTAGATAAACGATTACGTAATAATCTATATCGATTGTCGCCTGTCACGTTATTGATTATCAAATCTATCGTGGGGATCTTGGAAACCATAGGAATGACAGAGATGGTCAAATTAGAGAAAAGTTGCGTAATTATACAGTTATTATCATGTAAAGGAAATAAAAAAAGTTCCGATATGCTAGAAAAAACCGAAATTTGCCAATTGAATTGGTTTTTATTTTTTTGTGATCTTATTTGAACAATTAATTTAAAAAAACACTTTCTCATTGGCACTTTTTGAGCTTTAGGCGAGGGCGTTGAGAAATCTTCAATTCATCGTTTCGTTTCGGAGAAATCATCAATTTTCTTTGTTATATGGCCTGTAAAAAAGTACAAACAGTATTATTGAGCAGCATTTTATTACGAATATAACGTAAAAAAAGTTATCAAGTTTCAACAGGATGTTTCACAAAATCGAACTTTTCGAAATTGTTAGAAATGGTCTGCTGTGCAACTTGTTTTTAGCGCATTTCAAAATAAAAAAAAATGCGCTATTGTGGCCATTTTGTCCGTCCGTCCATCGGCTCGTTTTGAGACGCTACTAGTTTTTTATCTTAAGAGCTATTGTTCTTTTTTCGCTATTTGGTTCGTTATGGTGTCGAGTCTTGTACCGCTTACAAAAAAAGTTATTGTAAAAAAAACAAAAAACCGTTTTTTACATGTTTCATAATTTTACACTTGCCGTTCATTAACGATCCTAGAGATCGTTTATAATTTTGCATTGCTGTCTGCCGTCTGCCTGTTGGTCTGTCCGTCTGTTCCTTTGTCTGTCTGTCCCTCTATCTGTCCTTGTGAACTATAACTTTGTTTAGAAATGTCCGATCGCTTTTACATCTCCGTTAGTTATGAACTGAATTGCATGAAATTCAATATGGGCATAGCTTTAGCCATATAATACGCAATTCCAAAAGTTGAATCGAATCGATTCAAAATTCACAGTGCCCTTTTCGCATCTCGACCATTTATAAACCGAATTGCAAACTTTTTTAATTATAAAAGTATTTAAATGAAATTTGATACATAGCCACTTGGAATAAAAGCAAATTTAACGCCAATTTCAAAATTTGGTTTTGCGCATGCACAATGCCAACTTTCTTATTTATGGAGGGATTTTAATGAAATTTGATAAATAACCACTTGGAATAAAAGCAAATGTAACGCCAATTTCAAAATTTGGTTTTGCGCATGCGCAGTGCCAACTTTCTTATTTATGGAGGGATTTAAATGAAATTCGATACATAGCCACTTGGAACAAAGGAAAATCTAACGTTAGCTTCAAAATTTAGGTTTGCGCATGCGCAGTTCCAACTTTCTTATTTAGAAAAGCATTGAAATGAAACTCTTCTTATAAACTGAAATTGAAGTAGCACGTCAAAAATGGATTGCACATGTGCAACGCTATCTTTACAATTTTAACAAAAAGTTGCATCTTACAAATAGGAAATGAATGCAGGTGGAAATGCGCTTTATGTAAATCGTTTACGATTACTTTTTAACTTGTTTTCTTATGCACGTCAAAAAATTGTGTAGGTACCTATAATACCCTTTAAATTCAAAAATTCTGTTTATACTTCATTCTTTAATACTAGTTCATGCCTCAATGATATACCACAGGATATACTTTGCTCTTACATAAGAGTAGACTTATCCGATATTTGCTTTACTCCTTGCTTAATTCCTCCATACACTGTTCTAGTTACTTTCATAACGTGTCAGTACCTACTCCTGCATATTGGAAACCAATTTCATCTCATTCGTTGCTTTATACATTCAATTTTTGTCATAGTATCCATATGCATTCGTACAGTTAAAAATTCAACGGAAATCGTGGATTAAATTGCCTAGCCATACCATGTGAAGTGCCACCTCCCAACGCTTACACCCTGTGTTTGTAACAGTAAGTCAGTAAGGCAGTCATATTTTACCATGTAACATTTTCAAAATTAAAACTAATGCAAACATTTGTTGCTTAGGTTTCTTATATCACTCCCGAGGACAAAAACATCCAAAGCTATTGTTGTATGGAAACAACTTTGTCTTCGAAAGGCACATGGCTGATAAAACGTTTTGGAAGTGTGCCTCGTACCCTAGGACAAAATGTAGGGCGCGCGTTATTAGTACTAGCTGCAATGTTAGAACCAATAGTTCACTGCACAATCATTCACCAAATTGCAAGAGCCCTGTTATCTGTGGAGAAGTGAAAGCACTGAAACTTATGTAAAATATTGTACACAATAAATGTTTAAATGATTTTTACCCGAACACAAATGATGTGAAATTTTTTCTTTGTAGAAATTGTTGCATATATTGAAGGCTCAAAGAAGTTTCCGCATCTTGTAGTGAGAAACTACAAGTATCTCAAACACAGAAGCGCACAAAGGGCCACCTACTGGAAATGCCAGTTTTACGATAGCGGCGCGTGTAAGGCAAGATGTATTATTGGAATGGATCAAAGTATTATACTAAAGGGGCTTCATACACATACATCTGATGCGGAGAGTATTAAACTGTGTAGAGTAATAGGACGTGAGAGATTCCGTGTTAGAAATGACATGATGGATTGTGTTTAAAGTAGTTGATGTATGCATGTGCTTAATTATGAAACGTTAATTGTCTCAGGATGGTAATAAATGGTTTTTATTGCAGAATTATTTTTTACCACCAGTAGAAGAGGTTACCCTGTGTTAGTGTATCAACAATTTTGTTATCGTACCGACAGGCGTCTCGGCGAGAAGTCATTTTGGAGGTGCACGGAGGAATCAAATTTTAAATGTAAAGCACGCTGTATTCTTAAATCAGGGGAGCTTCATTCGTCATCCGGCACTCACCATCATCCTTCCAATTATAACTGCCAACGATATTTGTAAATTGTTAAAATATATTTTTAAAATAACGAAATCGACATCTTTTATGCAGGGAAACACCCAAATCTTGCGCTAGGCTGCAGTTGTATTATAACTGTACTTTTGTTTCAGCCGCTTTAATTTATATGATGAATGAAAGACGGCAAACCGTACTAGCGTATCAGGAAAATATTTTTCATATAAATCGACGACACGAAAATACAGTGTTTTGGAAATGCATGGAGTATAAGAGGCACAACTGCAAATGTCGATTAGTTGTCGCGAACGGAGTTATTATGAAAAAACCGAAACAACACAATCATCCACCTAACACTGAGAAGATAAGAAAGAAAACTGCAAAGGTTGAATATTTATCTACAACAATATCTCATTAATGTGATTAATTATTATTAAAGTTATTTTGGTTTAATTAATGTGGTTTTCTATTGTTTATTTGACAAGCACCAATACCTACATCAGAAAAACTTGTTCTAGTCAATAGAGAAATTGGAGTAGTATGGGTCACATAAAAAATTCCTACGATACGTTGAATATTTCAGTTAATAATAAATTAATATTAAATTGTGAAGCAGAATTAATTATTTGTAATATGAATTTATAACATAAAATTGTAACAACAATATTAACAAAATATGGTGTATGTAGGCTTGGAGAGGTGACATATAGGTTAAAAACAAATTTTCAGAACAATGGGTAAGGTAAGCAGGTACCAAGATTCTGATAAAAGGGTGAAACACAGGATGTGACTTATCTTTGGTGCAATAAAATCCATCTGTTCTGCAAACATTACACCAAAAATGAACGCGATGTCAAACAAAAGATTAACGGTATCAAATACATGAATCTGCATTGAGGTTAAATCAAGTCGACTTCAAAATCAAAAATTGAAACATACAAAACACAATTGCAAATACCTACATTATAAAGAAATACAAAGATTACTATCTGCCTTAAATATCACAAAATAACCAATCTCTTAAAATAAAGGGTGTTCAATTTGGAGACCCTGTACTTTTTTAAATATTTTTCAAAAATTCCGAAAACAGGAAAGCGTTATATGTAGAAAGAGATATAATCCTTGGCTCTGATTTTACATCATCTACTCTGCGGTGTTCATTGCAAATCACTGTAATAGACAATGTAACTACTTTTACTTAGAGCAATTTTATTTACATTAAAAAACAATTATCGCACAATTTCAGTTTTAACAATTGAAATGATTATTACACTAGAGTGAAGTAGGTAAGTCTCGGAATTGTAATCTTGTATGTTTACATAAATTTTCATTTCAGATACATGCCTGTATTCCATTACAAAGCGGGGCAGAAAGTGTTTGGTGTACAATAATAACATTTATTACATAAATCAATCGAATGGTCGCCATGTGTTCTGGGTGTGCTCCGACTATCACAAGGTTAAGTGCAGATCTCGGGTTATTACGGACGATAATGATCAGGTGAAACGGCTATCTCAGGAGCACAATCATCCACCTCACACCGATCGTCTTTTAAACTTTACTGTTACTTAGTTTATTTATAAATACTATTATAATATTCTTCTTCTAGATCGTATAAATCGGCAGCCATGTCATCACGCAGCGACATTAATTTTTGGTCGCATTCCGCTTGTTTTGTTCTAAAATGTTATAATTCATTTATACAAATAAATGATGAAATATGTGTTACCTGAATAGTTTTGAGTTTTGTGTAATTGCTTCGTTGACGGATGGAAAGTCGTTTAATATTAAATACTGTTTTATGTCTGAAACCAGCTTCATTAACGATTCACCTGCCCTTACAATGTTGGCCGCTCGTACATGCATCTCGTAAGTATCCTGTTCACATTGGGTCATTCGTGATAGTTGTGTATCATGCTCTCCTTTTGCCAATTTAACAATCTCTAAAACTAATGTATTACATGCCTGAGAGGAGCCGCTTAATGCTTACCTTCAAAGTTTTCTAGCATGCTTTTTACATCGTCTTTTAACCTTGTTCTATAGGATTTCAGTAAAGCTTCTTTACTTTGTGGTAATCCTCTAGGAGTGGTCATTATTATTTATTGTAGTGTGCACTAATTAATCAGGTAAAAGTTTATTTTTGTATCTTGTATGTGTAGGAAAGATTTAGGTTATGTCATATTTATGGTCCAAAATATGAAATAAATTGCAACGTTGTCACGTCCTGCATTATACGGGATGGTAAAATTTTTGTGGTGCTGGTTAATTATTTGAAGGGGATGTAGTTTACTCAAATTCCAATGTTGGGACCGATACTTTTATTTGAGTATGATGCATTTGAAAAATTATATCTAGATACATTTGTTTCAGTGCATCTAGATACAGGACACAGATACCTACTCATGTTTGGTATCTAGATAACATCTTCAGTTCGTTCACTTATTTCACTGAGACCCGAATCACAGTTTCTCCGTTTCTCACTAAAAATTTATGAAATTTACGCTTCTGTTTTTATCTTTCTTATTCTTGCATGTGTTGTGTGTGAGTGTGTTTAATCACGAGAATTCAACTCATGTATAACAAATCCCATTTGTGAGTAGTGTACCTAATGTGAGAATCGTAGTTTGCCATCGGATAAATAGGAAGGAAGAGAAATGCAAGTGGAGAATTATATTACCAAACAGAGCTGGCTAGGCAGTATTCGATTTTGTAAATACTTTTTAGTATTCAAATCCTTTAAAGTATTCAAATACTTTGTAATTAAATACTTTTATGGAAGCAGTATTTGTTTTTGTAACTCAAATACTTTCGCAAATACTTAGTATTCGAATACTTCGCAAAGTATTTGGATACGTCGTAAAGTATTCGAATACTTCGCATAGTATTTGAATACTTAACCTTCCTTTTTTACCAAAAATCGACTACTCCAAAATTTCTCGGGAAAACACTTTTTCTTATTAATTTTGGTGCGTAGAATCCAAAACAATTCGTACTTTTTCGATCAGACTTCTCATTCAAAAGTTATAGACTAGAAACCAATTTCGAAAGAAAATTCAAAGGGCTGTAACTTTTGAACTAGTAGCCCAATCTTGGAACTGTTTGAAATTATGGATTCTACAGGCCACATTCTATAAGAAAATTTTCTTTCCGGGTCGATCTGAGACAATTTTTTTTTCGTGGCTCAAAAAAAGGCAGTGTATAACCTTCCTTTTTTACCAAAAATCGACTACACCAACATTTCTCGGGAAAACACTTTTTCTTATTAATTTTGGTGCGTAGAATCCAAAACAATTCGTACTTTTTCGATCAGACTTCTCAATCAAAAGTTATAGACTAGAAACCAATTTCGAAGAAAAATTCAAAGGGCTGTAACTTTTGAACTAGTAGCCCAATCTTGGAACTGTTTGAAATTATGGATTCTACAGGCCACATTCTATAAGAAAATTTGTTTCCGGGTCGATCTGAGACAATTTTTTTTCGGGCCTCAAAAAAAGGCAGAGTATAACCTTCCTTTTTTACCAAAAATCGACTACACCAAAATTTCTCGGGAAAACACTTTATCTTATTAATTTTGGTGCGTAGAATCCAAAACAATTCGTACTTTTTCGATTAGACCTCTCAATAAAAAGTTATGGACAAAAAACAAATTTCGAAAAAAAATTCAAAGGGCTGTAACTTTTGATCTAGTAGCGCAATCTTCAAACTGTTTGAAATTATGGATTCTACGGGTCAAATTCTATAAGAAAATGTTTTTCCCGGTCGATCTCAGACATTTTTTTTTCCGGCCTCAAAAAAAGGCAGTACTTTTAAGTTATTCAAATATTTGGGAACAATTTAGAAATGTTTAGGGAAAGTTTCCATTGTCACAAAATCAAATATAAACATCCGATAGGTACATCTGAATACCGAACTCGATAGTCTACGTAACTTAAAAACAATAGGGACCTTTCTTATATCCTTAAGACCATGTGTACCAATTTTCAAAGCGATCGCACGTTTCTAAACAAGTTATCATGCACACGGACAAACGGATGGTCAAAAATGGATCTGTTCCAAAATCGCTAGGATTAATTTCAGAAAGGCGTACGATCGCTTTGAAAACTGGTACACGTATTCTTAAGGATATAACTGGTATAAGAAAGGTCCTGGTAGGTACCTCCTATATAATAATAATACGCTTTTACTCCCCTTAAATTTGTATATAACAATAGAAATATAAAAAAAGCTAACCCCATACAAAGTATAACTTGATTTTTTAAGTAGTATTAAGCCTTTTATCTAGTATACTATTTTAAATTTTTAATGTATTTGAGTGACAAGTATTTGAATACTTTTTACTGTATTCGAATACTTTTCAGAGTAAGATAATGAAATACTTTTCAAAGTATTCGAATACTTTTGAAAGTATTCGAATACATTCTAAAGTATTTGAATACTTATTTTTTTAAGTATTTGAATACTTTTCAATGTATCTGTATCTAGTATTCGCATGTGCTGGACGTAAAAGTATTTAGTATTCAAATACCTTTGATTTGTGTAAAGTATTTAATTCAATTACTTTTTGAAACTATTCTGCCCAGCTCTGTTACCAAATACCACTAAAGCTCAGATGCAGCAGGATATTTTTGTGGTTGTTTTATCGTACTAATTTATTTTCATTAAAACAATACGTACAAAAACAACAGCAAATAGTATATTAAGTATGGAGAACGGTAAGGGATTTTTACCGTTCGAAGACAATTGTTTGGAGGAGGAGCGAAGCGACGACTCCAATTATTGTCTGAGAACGGTAACCCTTAACGTTCGACGTGCTTATAACATTTTTTGCGCGATCGAAATTAAAATTATGCAACCAATATAAATATGCACTAAGAAATTAACGAGCAGAATAAATCGAAATGATCGAAGTGGTATGGTGTACATCACTAGGCAACCAGTTTAAATGTCAAAATTGAAATTAATAATTTCATAAAAATGTGCATGTGTCTGATGTAGTTTACTAGCTTTGCACTTCCTTTATGACTTTATGAGCGTCTTGCTATAGGAAACAACAGCACAAATTGTACGTTTAATGTACCTAACAATAATTAAAGATTAAATGTAATGTAAGACTGTTGATTTTTAAAAAGGCGTCGGTAAGTATTTTTGCTGTTCTGTTTTTAGATCGGTAAGTAATTTTGGCGTCGTCGTAATCATAGTAACTGGTAAATTCTACGTACTGTCATGGAAACACCCATGGTAAATAGTCAGAAATGACCGATCGCGCAAAAAAGTATCTAAGACGCCCTGATATGTAATGAATTGAATGACAGTCAGATATTTATTTGTTTTAAAAAGGTATTTCGGATGCATAAAATTAGGCGCCCTTCAGAAGAGATTTTGTAATTTAAAAATAGACAAAGGGAAAAACAATATACGTAAATCTCTATGTCTACTTCTTAATAAGTCACATTAAACCAAAATCTATGGCGGTCGAGTTCTAATTAATCGTTTTTTCTGGACTATCGCAAAGGTAGTTCGTAAATTTAATGATTTATTTATTCATAATTAATTATTAATACATTTATTACAGTCTTGTACACAAATTTATAACATGTAAATATATGTTATACGAGCGCGAACTTCACTAATAAGTAATAACCACTTTGGAATCTATAATCTTGGAACTTCCATTAAACCCAATTTAAAGCTTCTAGAAAGATCACGGGTGTTCTAGACTCTAGTTTAGAGCATTCCCGAAGGCGGTTACTGTACTTGATGTCTCGGGTATCAATATACAGTGATAAATAAGTGTTGCTAGCAGTTTCACGGTTCACTTTATTTGTGTAAGCGGATAAATTGTGATGGTTTTCAAATGGTTTGGTGGAGAATTGCTTGGTCTTTTGGTAGGTCCTACAGTGTGCATGGCGGAGTGGAAATGCTTGTCAAAAATGTGATGTGATCCTATCCCCAGTAAGTATACCTAAATAAGTATGAATTTTCTAATCATAGCGCTTCATAGATCGCCATTGGATGATTGGGTCGTGAAATGAACCGAAAGCCCTCATCACAAGAGGTGTGCACAGAGCAGATTAAATGTGGATGCAAAATGGATGCAACGAAGCACGCTATATAGATATATGCATGAAAAAAAATATTCCGAACTCGGCAAAAAGCCAGAAACTGAATTTTGTGTAGGTATCGGGGCTGGGAATGGTCAGGGGTTAATAATTCTCGGGGTTATCACTCTTCATTTTACCTCTAATTATAATTTCCCCGTTTTGCGTATGGCGAAACGCTTGAGTCCAGTCTACAGTGACTGTAATTGGGACAGTGGCACAACTTATCATAATCCGCCATATTGGGGCTAAAAATTGTTTGATTGTAGGATCAATATACCTTGTCATGTCAACTTGGGACCGTATATTAATGAATATCCGTTTTATTTAAAGATTTCGATTGTTTCGAGATCGTTTAAAACTTTGCAGAACAAGCTATGATGAAGTACAGCTTCCAAAAAATTCTAAAAGATAAATGGAAACGGTATACTTAACAAGTATAGGTAAAATATGGTGCAATATCCAAAATGTACATGAAAAGCTAACCGCATTAATCATTAAATTGTGTTTGACATTTCAGTATGATCTGACACTTTTCCCTCGTCGTCGCGGTTTTCTGTTTCCGGGATAAAAAGTGTCACTTTAGACTAAAACTACGTTTCGAGCAACAATCTGCACCCTCGGGAGTTATAAAACACACACTTTAGTCTATCGGTATATAATATACTATTAAAAGTAGACAGAGGGACAAACACACGTAAATCCCTTTGTCTACTTCTTAATAAATATCACTGTATAGTATCTATAGATGTGCCTATAGTAGGTATCTGCTGTTCAAATGTTTATCGACAGTGTGTTCAGTGTTCAGTGACGAGCTGCATTATGCAATCCTTCCGGGAAAAATGAATGTTTCTTCTAAAACATTCCGAAGCGTTCTAGAACAACTGTCGTTTGCTATATAAACCGGTCGAGTTACGTTTCTGTCAGTCCCATCACCGATGCATTCTTGTGAGTGATAAATTGTAATTATGTACCCTTTAAAAACCAATCCATTTTAATGTGTAATGTCGTAAATTTATTGTTAATTAATCGTAAATAAATGACGTAATTAAATTGACGTTACAGTAATGTTTATTTACCTTCTCGATATTT